AATTTCAATAAATCGAGTAATAGTATAGTATAGAACAACACTATTGTCAATAAATCTTATTGTTTGTCAAATATTTTCAGAAAATATTTTGATAAAAATAGGTTTGAATTTTAAACTTCAAGATGTGAAATATATTCTTCTACTATATTAGGACAAGGACAGGTTCGTTTAGCTAGTAAAACTTGAAACAGTCTTTGTGGTCCAAGATAATAAAAATTTATGATAATGAAATAATCTGATTTCTGGGGATTTTTTTCTAAAATCAGACTTTCAGGTTCAGATGCCTTAAACTATCTGCGTCTAAAAGTCTGACCGTCAGTAAGCGGCCAATTCTAAGCATTACTCATCGCTTGCTTAATACAAGTTTTACTGTACCTATTACAAAACCGTGCAGCTAATGGAAATTTACTTGATATCCAGAATTGCGTTTTGCAATCACAATTAAGAAAGAAAGCATATTATTATTGTCAATGTTAGAGATAATCGTCTAAAAGTTGGCTATTTCAGATTGATATAACACAAATTCACATATCAGTAGTATACTCCAGAATGACAACCCGGGGTCATATTTTTCTAATTTAGGAATAACGAATTCGAATCATGAAGACTGTTGTTAAGATGTCTTCGTGTTTTTACTGACTAGTAATCAAAACGTGTGTTCTCTAGAAAATAGGCCAAGAGCACCGCAAAGAGATAGCTATCGGTAATAAAGCGTTTGAGGTAGTTGAAACGGTATATTTGTTGCCACGGCAGCCCTTACGTTTTTCAAACGAACCAAACGTTTTGTTTGCATACGGTCAACTGAAATTCAATAGATCTACAACATGTAGGTTATGTGGTTAATACGTTTATTGACCTTAGATGTTTATTTACAGAATGATCGAGAGAGGGTGTTTACTGATACAATTTTATTTATGCCTTTAACTTTTATATTATTATACATAAAACACTGATACACTTATTTTTCGTTGTCTCAGTCACTATACGATAAGATAACATAGTAAATATATCACTGATACCTGGCGCTAAATCCCCGAGACGTCTGGTAAAGCCCAACGCAGACGAGGAACATTTCTGTCGACGAACAAAAACATCGAACAAATATATTTGTTTTCCGTTATCCGCAGACGACAAACATTTAGCTCGAACAATACGCCAGTGCCACGGAAAATCACATGACCTCAAAATGGCGACGTCTAGAAGAAAATGTAAAATTGCGTTAGCTATTTTATTAATTTTAAAAAGACGCCAACGTTGACGGCGAAATAGGAGCATTTGGGTCCGTACCTGGATTCAACGTCGTAAAGAGCAGGGTGTGTTCGGCAACCTTGTACAGGAGCTGTCGGCTGACGGCCCAGCAATGTATCGGCAATATTTCCGGCTTGACAAAGATGGGTTTAACACAATACTGAGGCAGATTGCGACCACATATCTACTAAAATCTGCTCCTTCTCCACAGTCCAAAATTTTGTGTTGTGGATTCACTGGACGTCGCCATTTTGAGTGTCATGTGGTCTGGCTTCGATCGCTGATTGGTCTTTCGTCGATGAATGTTCGGCGCTAATGTTCGTCGTTAACCCAGACGGCGAACAAAGAATTGTTCGGGAGGCGAACAATTTTAAAAAATCAAACATGTTTGATTTCACGAACAATTCTCACGAACATTTTTGTTCGTGTTTCTGTAATCCGCAGACGGTGAAAAAAATGATCGAAACCAAATTTTTACGATTGTTCGCTTAAAATGTTCTTCGTCTGCGTTGGGCTTAAGTACGAATAAGACAAGACTCCATTGATGACACCTCGAGTGGGTACTAGTCAAGAACACCCTTACCAATAAGCGTTAGTACTGCCTGATAACCAGTATGGCCAATTATATTTAATTCGGATTCGCCAAACTCAGAAATGGGAAATTTTTACCTAAGCTATTCAGTAAAAGTGTCGACATCTGATGCTTTCAAATCCACATGTCCAGAATGATCGAAGTATGAAAGTTGAAATGACAACTCGTCTTTTTTTGAGACTCTGCCATATACAAAAAAGACATAGGCCTATAGAACAGAAATAGAAAGTCGACTATTGACATAATATATTTAAGACCAAAATGAGCCATACGAACGACAAAACAGTTACAAGTTGAAGGAACATCTTCAGTTTTCAGCGTTGTTTTCTTCAACATGTCGTTTAAAATGTTATCATCCTATTCTGTCAGTACAAGACAGAGGCCGTCACGTCACGTTTCTTAAGCTTTATTTGTTGAGAAAAGAATGTTTTTTTTGGAATTGGTAGAACACCACTGACAACCATTTAGAACAATTGGGCGAGATATAACATTAATAGGATGTTAGGAATGAAAGCTTTGGCTTATTGTACTTATTTCACTCTTTTGAAATGTGTTAAATACCAGGTTGTCGATGCAAGAAATCTTATACTTTCGGAGAGTAATTACAGTAAGGTATACAAGGGGGAGAGTAATGACGGTAGAGTGTACAAGGAGAGTAATGTTTATAGTGCTTTGCATAAATGCGGCAACGGAGAACGTCAGACGACGCTCGAAGCGAGTTTTGTTTTTTTTATGCATAAGACCGATTTAAATTCCTTTAGGTATGTTAAAATATGTCTATTTATGACCGATATACCTTTCTAAACGATGTCTATACTTTACTCTTTAAAACATAACAGCTAGGCAAGTTTGTCAACAACGTTAATTTTTGACGGTATCTATAACTCTATGACTAGGAACGATTCAATGGAAATTCTCCAATGATGAAGGGTTTTAGACTGGGGGTACAAATAGGGTGCAAACTGGGGGACACCTGTCAAGGCTGAATTAAATATATGTCATCTCTGTGGAGGTTGTAAGCCTCTACTAGATCGTTTGAGAGGGTTCTCAAAAGAAAATGTTTCAAATATTGATTTAGTGTATTTTGACGCATATATACCTAAAAATCATATTTTTAATTTGTTAAAACTGAAGTGGGGTACGATTTGAGGTGCAAATCACTGGCGCCGCCACTGGTTGTAAAACACTCCAGTAACCCCAACCACCAAATCTAGTCCATATACCTGAAGATGAGTAATACACTGCTGCAATAAGACTATTTCAAAGCACTATTCCATTTTGTGGTTTCCTCCAATTTGCTTCACAATGCAAAAAGGAAATGTGCCATCTTCTTTGCCATAAAGAAGCATTTTCCAGCTTTTGAACATATGAAATTATATTCATTGGTAGCCGAAGAGTCAAGAGGTTTCGGACTAATAGTAATCTCTCTACTTTGCGACATTATGCTAATAGTTTACAGGTGTCGAATCGAACATTATGATCTTGAGATAAGATACAAATATGGATAATGTTTAATTTAATTAGGCCTACTTAATTCTTGCCCAATAGAGTTAATTGTCGCAAAATGTGTACATTTCGTGGTTAAGTAGGTAGGTAGGTAGGTAGGTAGATGACAAGTTAACATTCGCTTCCAGCAGATGCTGATATCGTTGTTGTTGGTAGTGGTAGTAGTTGGTAGTTGGATTGGATCAAATTGGATGATTCGGTGTTATTGGTTTGGTTGTTGATTCTTCGTTAGATACGGTCGGGTCGAATGACATGGCGGTGAAACTCGGCCCTGGACAGTGTGGCGTGAGTTACTCGGTCTTCTTCATTCTTCCAAACTCGTTCTGATCATGGTATTTCTTGTTGATTGGTAGTCGATTGGTAGTCGTTGGTTTGGTTTGGTTTGGTTAGATTATCTGTTATCTGTTGGAAAACTAGAAGACCTGAAAAAAAAAGAAAAAAAAAAAAAAAAAAAAAGGAAGTGAGAAGCTTTCAACAAAAGGGGGAGAGATGATCTCTGATGTTTCTGCAATGAAACTTGTTAAATTGATTGAATATAATTAAAAAGTGTTAAGAAACTTTGAGTATAAAAACTTTGCCTTTCTGTTCAAGACAGATTTGGTTATAAAATGAAAGACTAGTTCCATTATCGTATACCAGTGGTCCGTGGGTGGAGCCAAAACATTCTGCATGGTGAGTGGTATGCCGTTGGTTTCCAGGTACTCTAGCAGTGGCTTACGAGCGGGTTTCAGTTCAGTGCATTGAATGAGACATGCGACCTTGTGGCAACGTGGCCGCAGCGACATTTAATGGAGTTGAACTGATGGTCTCGTAGTACGTTGTTGGTCCGGAGTCTGGTTGCCACTTTGCAGATGGCTACAGATGGATGGTTTGGTTTGGTTTGGTTTGGTATCTTCGGATCAATCTGGTATCTTGCGGTGTCGAGGTTCCGTAACATGTCGGCCCATTTCTGGTTGATCCTAGAAGATACGATACTGCAGAACTCCGATTAGGAGTATTCTACAGGCTCGATATTCTCCAGACTCAGACTTTCCTTGGCACAACGGTCTGCTTGATCATTGCCAGGAATGGAGACGTGCGATGGAACCCATACTAATTCAATCTTCTGGTTGTTGTTGGTTTGGTAGTTGTGGATCATTCTTCTTATTTCGGAAATAACTTCTGACCTGCAATTAGATCGTGGTTAAGTGCGAAATTGCGTTATTTATAGACGTCATTGGTTAAGTGCGTCAAGCAATGATTATGATTGGTTGAAATATATGTTATTTGACTGGATGAATAATAAAACTTAGGATTTAATAAGAGAATTTATTTGTCCATACGTTCTACTTAGTTTTTATATAAGGCTAATAAACCTAACAAATTTCTTATATTAAAAGCCAACTTTACAGGAACCGGTTGTTTACAATAGGCTTAATTTACTAAGATCAACTATGTGAAAAGAGTGAAAAACGACCGAGGCTACGACTGTGTGCTGTCAGGGAATACACTGAAACCCTAATATTAGAGCTAAATTAAGGTTTTTTTTCATACTAAATGCAAATTAGATTTGTTTGATAGCAATACAGTTACAATTGGAATCGTTGACATACTCTTAAAAAGTAACTAGTCGAGAAATTATTAGTCATTTAGTGTAGTACCTTCAAATTTCAAAATGCGATTTGACGAAATTCTGAGACATTTAGGGGAATTCGGACCCTATCAAAAGCGAATTTTCTATTTGTTATGTTTACCTGGAATAACACATGGTATTCGAATGGTAGTTGCTGTGTTTGTAACTTATATTCCGTTTCATAGGTAAGTATAGTCCTACTAATCATATTGTTGTTCGTGAAATTTACTTATTGTCTTTCTTGGCATATATGCGTCTATAGCCTTCCCAAAAGATTACAGTCAGACATTTTATAAACGTACAATTTTTATTTTCTTTGTGTGGAAAATCATATCTGCGTTAATATCAATCAGACAAAATATTGAGTAAGATCACTTTCGACATTGTACATTGAACAAAGCATAATTTGCGTCTTTTACATTTCACTAGTTACACTACATCTTCGTCTTAGTATCTTCTACATTGCATTAGCGAACGTGTTTTATAAATGGAAGTAATAAAACAGAATCAGTTTCCCTGTTTAACTTTGGTCAAAAAAGTTTGTCCTATTCGCCACAGTGAGTGAGCAGCTGCTCTACATACACTATTTATATGGGTGTTTATGGCTCCTCTTGAATCTAACATCACACCCAGATCTCGAACTGAGTTTGAGAACCATACTATTTCAGTCTTCTGTCGTTTAACGCCAGCAAATTGGATTGCATAAAGTATCATATCTCATCAACACAATTTTCAATGCGATTCACTGCCGTGTCATCAATTCGAGAGTCACAAGTAATGTAAAGTTGGGCGTCGTCAGCAAAGTTTAAAGAATTTAGACCACGGCGTATGATGATGTCTTCAAGTGGAACCATATACAGTGAAAATAACACAGGACCCAGAACAGATCCTTGTGGCACACCGAACTGAAGTGTGTGCTCCTTCGAAACCACCATCGATCCGATAGAAACCCTTTGCATTCTACCCCGCAATACAAATACTAACCTATTTGTTAAGACATTTTTGTTTTAACACAGTACAGTTTCAAAATATTGAGAGTTTTATTATAGTATAGAAGAACAATATTGTCAATAAATCTTCTTTTGCAATTTTTTTTTCTTTAGAAAATATTTTGATATATAAAGGTTTGAATTTTAAACATCAAGATCAAACGACCTCTGTGAAAGTTACGTTAGCGCTCTGTAACATATCACGGTCATGAATGGCCATTTTTACGGGAACTATGCCAATATTGTCACGTGATCACATGATCCTGGTAATTTAAATATTAGAGGCAGGTTGCTCGCGGCTACAAGTGTTTGTAAACCAAGTCAATGAAAACAAAAATTTCGTAAGACGCGCATAATAATAAAAAGGAATATTGGATAACCAATAGTCATAATATAGCATTAAATACATATGTAAGTGTCAGAATTATCTCCCAAAGTATCCAAATTTAAGGACTATATTTAATTCGCAATATTACTATCACTAGACAAATCTCTGTTAAATACCGAAAGTAAAGAGTCTCACCCAAGAAGACACATCGCAATTCACCATTCATTACCGAGTAAGATTAAGCTTACGGAAACTGTCGAGGATTGCCGAAAGCATCAAGATGTTAAATAATTTCTTCTACTATATTAGGACAAGGAAAGGTTCGTTTAGCTGGTGAAACTTGAAACAGTTTGTGTAGTCCAAGATAAAAAAAAAACAATTCATGATTGTTTTACAATCATCATCATATTCTGTCTGTGCAAGGCAGGGGCAGTCATTCCTACGGACCACAGGAAAATTAATCACGTTTCTTAAGAAAAGAAAAAGATTTACTATTGTTTATTAGAAATTGGTAGAACACCATTGACAACCATTTAGAATAATTGGGTGAGATATAACATTGATAGGATGTTAGGAATAAAAGCTTGGAGGTTCGTTTACTTCGTTTACTAGATAAGTATAACATATCAGGTTGTCGATGTAAGAAATCTTATACATTTTGTTATACTATTCCCAGTTAACAAATCTTGTGCTCTATCACACCTTCAACGTTACAAATCTTATATTTGCAGATGTGCTTTACCAGGATATGATAATGATACATACGCTGTACAATCTGAGTACCATCAACAACTCATCAACGAAACTATACCATTAGCTAAGAAAGGTCTAGGCTATCTGTATGACCAATGCTATGTATATCTTACTGTTTCTAATCATACCAAATCGTTGGTCAAATGTAACCACTGGGTATATGATAAGTCTGTATTTACCAATACTGCATCCACCGAGGTTGGTCATAATTCTTAATTTATTTAGCTAGAGTGTTAAGTCTACCTTTCAACTTTTCGTGTCAGAGCATTCTAGTATCTCTCTTGACTGTGCTCGTTTCCCGTATATCGGTATCAATTCACTATTCATTTTCACGCATTGTGAAAAATGCATTGTGCATGGTCAACCCCCCAAAATGCGCAAGAACTATATGATCGCTGTTGAACAGGAACAGCGTAGCCTTGTTTGGAAACAAATTTATGAAATAATGGCCTTCTACGGCATAAAGCTAACTACATCGAAAGCCCAGTAGCCCCTCGTAAATAATTCGAGGAAAAGCAGTATTTTACAATCTAAACGATTCTTGCACCTTTAATCATGCTGAGAAGACAAAATATTTCAGTTTAACCTAGTATGTGATGATGCAATTAAGACATCCCATGCTCAGATGATATTTATGGGTGGTTATTTCTTTGGTGCATTTGTGACTGGTGCAATATCAGATAGGTAAGTAGGCCATATCTTTTACTTGAAGCTAACATCTGACTTTGTTCACGTCTGTGACATATTTATTAGTTTGATAAAGGACAATCTAGAGCAGTGTTAATGATCCACTTCCTCACATGCAAAAAGATTTCTCGTCCTTCAGCCCAAGCACTATAAATCATCTATTTAAAACTCTTGAAAATTGAAACATCCTGGTGAGGTATAACGTATATTTAAAGAACATAGTCCACGGTTTAAGAAATAAAGCGCAATGGAGAATCATTGAGAATCTTGTGTTTGGTGTGCTTCAGGAGACCACTTGCCACACCAAACCCCATATAAAGTTTCTCGTGATATGGTATAAGCTACCGTTGAAGGCGAGCACATTTCATTTTAGTTTCGCAAATGTGATGCACTTGGTTGAGAAAACGCATTTCTATCTAATGTCTTTTAAAAAAACCTTGATGTAGCATTGACAGGCAAGTCCTAGCCGAAAGACAGGTCAATAATGAAAAGAGAGGATCTCGTGATTTGCAGTGATATGTTTTTTCGTCGACAGATTTGGTAGAAAAGTAACTCTATATGGCTCTATTTTGTTGGTGTTGGCTGGAGGATTAGGTCTGGCTTGGGCTGATGATTTCATAGTGTTTGTTTTACTAAGATTTGTGAATGGAACTGCTACTGCTGGCGTCTTTACAACGTGTTTCGTTTTAAGTAAGTTTTAATCGTAACATTATCATTCACAAAAGGATCAATCTTTACTATGGGCTATATAAATTTTATCAACTTAAAACAGTATTCATCGGGTCTATTTTTTAGCCGCCGATACATTGACAAATGCTCCTTTGTATTGAACACAACACGTTTATAATAGTGCGAATTTTAACCTGATTTTTCTTATGAGTCCTTACGAATTGCTAACTCGTAGTAGATCACAATCATCCGTAAATAACTCGCTGGTATCTGTAAATAACTCGTATCAAGTCGCAAAGTTTCGTGAAGAGAAAGCCAAATTTTTCGACATATCAAGAATCGTCTCATGATTGTCGATGATGTAATTTGTTCGTATATAGCTCGTAGAAATCCGTAAGTATCGCAAACTGCTTGTAAACCGCTTGCAAAAACACTTAACCATCCGTAAGATTTTAAGATTTATTACGGTTAATTAACGATTTGTACAAGTTATTACGAGAAGGTTTCGTTTAGTTGGTAGTACTTTACGAATAGATACGTATACGTATGCACAGTTATCTGTTTGGAAAAAAGGTATTAATTAAGCTACACAACAAAAAAGACTGCAAATACTCGTAACTTACTCGCACCCGACTTGTAACTATACATAACAATAAGTATACAACTCGTAAAATGTCCGTACGTTACTCGTAGTTATCCGTGACAACAATCGGATTTTATCGTATTCAACTACGAGTTGAAGTTTCGTGAGAAAAATCGTGCATGTGAAGGGGGTATTAGAAATTACGAACTAACGAAAATTGAAAGTAAAAAAGGCATGTCTAATAGCAGGCTTGTGCTTTTTTTAAAATAACCATTATTTGTTACATTACAGGTGTAGAAATTGTTGGTCCATCAAAAAGAGCATTTACAGGAATAGTAATAGAATTTTTCTTTGCTATTGGAATGATAATATATGCTGGTATGGGATATTTTATACGAGATTGGCACTATCTGGAAATAGCTGCCTCTATACCTGTTGTTCTCTTTCTCGGGTATTGGTGGTAAGTAAAAGGACATTTTTAAACTATCAAATTACATAGACACACAATTCAAACCACCTTGGATAGGCTATTCTTAAATTGTAACGTTTTATAATGTCTTACTTGTTTTCACACAATTACCTTGGAGTCAATTTGAAAAGTGTATGAAGTAATGGAAAGACTAAAAAATTTAAAATCTAAGTAAATACGGTGGAACCAATACCATGCGTTTATGTCACAGCAACTTGTAACCTACCTATCCTTTTTTTGCATACTGATAAATTACATGAAATAAATGTCATGGAATCATTATACATAATGCATATAACCGTGACCTATTGAATGCATTTTGATACATACTGATAAGATTGAATGCTATCAAAAATAGTTCATAGCGGATCACGACACAACTGGCTGTTTTTTTTTGCGATATTAATGAGATAAGGACGAAATATTCCGCGATATTAATGAGATAAGAAACAATACATTTCGCGATATTGATGAGATATAAATACAAATACAATTCCGAGATATTGATGAGATATAAATACAAATACAATTCCGAGATATTGATGAGATATAAATACAAATACAATTCCACGATATTGACGAGATATAAATACAAATACAATTCCACGATATTGACGAGATATAAATATAAAAACAATTCCACGATATTGACGAGATATAAATACAAATACAATTCCGAGATATTGATGAGATATAAATACAAATACAATTCCACAATATTGACGAGATATAAATACAAATACAATTCCACGATATTGACGAGATATAAATATAAAAACAATTCAGCGATGAGATATTGGTTGCGTAATAGAAATCCGTAGGTTGGATATGAAATTTCTATAACTTAAGCTTAGTTAGTTAATCTATTTCTAACGCCTCTGGGAAGAATATTTTTAAATTCTGTATATTATTGTCATGATATGCGAATTGTCATAGTTCAATTTATAAATGGAGTAATGAACTCCAATTAGATGTGTAAAACATGATGACTTAAGATACATTTCGTAGATCTGATGGCAATTAATAGGAAACGACAAGCAGTCTTGTATATTAGTGCATTTATTGCCCAAAGATCCCAAGATGAAATTTATATTGTGAAATGAATCAATTGAAAACTAGAAATATTAAAACAGAACTTAAATCATGTTGCTACTCACGCTACGCGATCTTCAGACAACTGACCTATTATCAGCCTGCGTCTAGGTAAATTAACGAATCGTGTTTACTAAGAACTGAGTTTTCCTTCTAAATTGTTTTCAGTTGACACAGTAGTAGTTGTGTAGGGAAAAACCTGGTTAAGATCAGTGCCAAGGGGAATGGTCAAGGACAAGCAATAGCAAGGAACTTAAACAGCTAAGCGTTACTAGATGTTCTCTTCTTACGTTCAAGCTCAATCTAGAGCAGACTTGTTGTAGGATGCTGTAGAAACTTCTTTTCATTTGTAAAGCATGTTGTTTTTCAGGATAATTCCTGAATCACCCCGATGGTTATTGAGTGAGAACAAGGAGGAAGAAGCGGAAGAAATAATACGTCATGCTGCCAAAGTTAACAAAGTCAAACTAGATGAGAAGCTTTTTTTACAGTCCGTGGAAGAAGATGAAAAACAAGAGAAAGCTAATATATTTCAGTTGTTTAAATATAGGGTATTGGCATTTAGAACTTTTATAATCTTCTTTAATTGGTAAGATTTTTATATGAAATTTGTATAATATAAATTAAGTCAAATTTGGACGAATGATCACCGCGACCTTTCAATCAACGACCAATAGAAATTTCTTGTATATGCAGTTTTCGGTCAATTTCACCTGAACGACCAAGGACGGTTGACACGGCCATGGAACACCACCCTTGTGCACATCTTTTAATATCTTGTTGGTTTTACTGCCAATCCTTTGAATTGTAATTGACCTTTTGCTTGTACATAGATCGGAAAGACGAGCATGCAGTTACTCCTAAGTTCCACTTTTGTTTCAGGATGGTTGTCAGTATGGTGTATTTTGGTTTATCTTTAAATAGTGATAACCTAGGAGCTGGTTCTCTATTTTTAAACTTCTTTCTCGTTGGTTTGGTCGAGTTCCCGGCGTATACTATATGTTTGGTATTTTTAGACAGAAAAGGCAGAAGGGTTTTACATACGTGTAGCATGCTTACTAGTGGCATTGCCTGTATTATAACCATCTTTACCATTTTATACGCTGGAGAAGGTATGCTAGTTTTTAAGGGACGGGTCTGCCAAAATACCTTAAACTATAAGGACTTTCACTTTTAATTTATATGCCTTTACTATGTATTTATTATTTAGCAGAGTCTAAAGAAGGAGTTACTACATGTATAACTTAAAATTCCCGTTTCGGATTAGTCAAACGATGGCGAATCTGTCCCTTAAACAGACATTTTACAGATGCCATCATACTCTACACTGCTACTGATAAAAAGAAAGCGTCAGGAATAATTCAATATGTCACTGTTTAGTTATTTATAACGTCCCCCCCCCCCCCTCCTTTCGTTTAGATTGTTGGCCTGCGAATACAGCCAATCATAGCTTTCGACAGACAGACTGTAAATATTATGACTGATAGACTGTATTCGCTTTTCAACCAAATCGCCGCATTGATAACTTCTGTGATACATGGAAGGTGGTAATACCTTGACCATATGTGAGGATGCCTCAATTCACGATGGTATTTATTCCAGGACAACAATGGCTAACCGTAACATTTGCTATGATTGGTAAACTTGGTGCTACCATGGGATTTGCTGTCATATACGTTTTTTCCAGTGAGTTATTCCCTACTGTAGTACGTCAGGCCGGAATGGGATTTAGTTCCAGTTGTGCCAGGTTAGGTGGAATGATTTCACCATATGTTGTCATTGCCGTAAGTATAAGTTCAAGATAGAGAGGTCACATGCTTGGGAGTTCAGATCTTGATCTTGCTGTTTGAGTATCCTATAATGATACCTTCTGGAAAATCACTAGCCGTCCCAAGAGAAGCGTGTTGATAATACGATGCCAAAACATCGAGTTTTCTGGACCTCCGCATTATGGTACAAATAAACAAATACATCTAAAAGAGGTGAATAACGGGAAAAGAAACAAATGTGGACATTATTTGCTCTTTTCATTTCCTACTGTATTGATGTATCCTCATCGTCCCTTTCGTTGCCTGGTGCGGGCACACGAGCGGTCTTGGTCGGAGATTTTTGTCCCTTGAATCTTGATTAAAATCTCGCGTGTGCCCGTGCTTCCACGACAAGATTATCGTCTCGCCGACAGGATTTATAATATCAAACAAGTTTGATCCAATCAGAATCATTTTCCTTTCAATTGCATGCTCCGCACGTGATTATCGACAGACTGGAGATTTTTGTCTCGTGTACCCGTGCCAGTCGTTGAAACTCAAGACAAGACTCTAATCGCCGACAAAAGTCTCCGACCAAGACTGCTCGTGTGCCCACACCTTTAGCTGGAAACCGTGATTTTCAGAATTACAAGCAGTGAACCTTCAAACACCCAATATGAAATGTGGTCACATTACTCAGATCAGTCAATTCTACCTCACCCACTCACTCAGATATCCATCGTCAAACATTCATATAATTATAGGGCAAGACTATTGGCGGTGATTTTGGAAGAGCTCTACCAATGATCATATTTGGTTCTCTGTCTATTGGTGCTGCTATATTAACTTTATATTTACCTGAAACGTATAATAAAGATCTTCCAGAAACAATTGAAGATGGTAAACGATTTGGAAGGTAAGTATTTTACTATTTTGTAGAATAACGCAAACTATTGTAATACTGTAAGATAAAATAATAATCGTGTGTGAAATTTTAAAAGCTTTTAATATGGGCCTATATTGCCTAATGTGTATATACACTGTAACAGTGCTATTAACGCACTAGAAGGGCTCACGTTATAACAGTTAAGATTTAAGGCATAGTAAAAAAAAACAAAAAAAATTACGACTAACCACTTTCGCACTAACCTTAATTAATTATTTATTATCTCAATTAATTAATGGAAAAGCTTCATAAAAATGTAGTGCACCGATTACTTATGAAAGACAATTTTCCTGATTTTCCGTTTCTGATAGAAACATCATCAATCATCCATGCAATATAAAGTTTTATATTTCCAGAAAATAGACAAACGTCTTGGAGGTAACTCTTCCAAAAACATGAAACTTTTAAATGATCATTTTTATAACCTTATTTCATTTTCAACTTTCATCGCTTGTAGATCATACGTATAATCCTACTTAGTTGAAAATACTACTATTTTAGTTTTTGCCAGATACTTTCTTTGTTTCTACATATCCAATTAATATCAAATTTGTAACACTTACCCACCTCAATATTGTATTTTATTTACATTGGATTACTATGAGTAAAGTTGATTCTGTAGAACCCATATTGAAATCTGTATTATTTTAAACATTTGATTTAAGGGGGGTTATGTGCTAACTTCAAAATAACTGTACACAGATCTAGCAATTTAACAACCATTCTTCGTTTATCTTTTGATGTAAATGGAGCTAGTGACAGAACTTGGAACACATTTGTTTACAATTAAATAGATACTTCAAAATGTATTCGGCTCTCACCTTTACTTTGAAATAATACTGATGGTATATTACCTGAAAACGGGTTTGGTGTTAGTTTCTTTTCTTTTTCCACAAAATTTCATATCCCTATAAAAATCAATGTGTTTATAAATGTTTAAACTTCTCATTTGCCTACAATATAATCTTAGACTGCTGACTCTCCTCTCGTATAATTTCAGGTATCTTTCCACCACCGTTATTATAAATAAAGATAAAAATATAATCAGTAATAATTATAATCTTGTACCAACGAAAACTGAAAACCACCAAGATGGCATCAATGAAGAAATTGATCTCCACGATAAACTGTTATGAATGTTTAATTTCCCTTATATATTTCTCATTCCATTTATTATGATTTTAATAAACTCTATAATCACCCTGAAGTCTGCATTATTTTGCTCGGCGATTAAACCCAGAGAAAGATATAGGCCTACAATATTTTGCGATTTCCTGTAAACATACAACACTGAATAATACATAACCAAATTTCCTGGTCGGTTGATGAAATTAAGCGATTAGACTTTGCATTTCAGCTTCATAGTCTTAGAAGAGATTTCTTTGAGAAAAATGGATCTGAAATTGTCAAGAACAATCACGATATGAGCCTACAATATCCGATGTTACAGAGTTATCATAAAGGGATAGTAAAGAGGTTTTCTAAACTTTGTATATGAATCGGGGCACTAATAGCTTCAATTTGCAATAGAGAGAGCTACCGGAAGCTACTATTGATGTCTATGAAGTTCCCCTCTTTTGACGACATAAAACGCGTTAGTTTTAGTGGAATTGCAAGAACCACAGACGTCGGAATGAAAATTGGAATGATGCAAATTGATGCTATCAGTGTCCCCGATACACATAAAAAGTTCAGAAAACCTCTTTACAATCCCTATAGGGGTGGTGATTTTGGAAAATTGGTGGTGCATTATATTTTAATGTTTAAATATTTGAATAGTGCTATTCATGAAATCATTTTAAAACAGTGCTTCTTAACATTGGAAGACCATGGGGGGAATAATTGCAAAGGAAGGGGGTAGGGGGATCAATTTCCTACCATATTTTCAATGGAGTGTGGGTTCAGCATGGTTAATGATGTATTCACTAAATATACTGTTTCAAGGGACATAATAACAAATAATTGCGGGTCAATTCTTTTTCTATAGAAGGGCGTTTGGTCCCCAAAGCTTGCAGCTTTAAATGAACACTTTGGATCAGTCTGCAGGAAGATGTCCAGATTTCTGCTGCTTCTTAACTAACAGAATGATGTGGATTCAGGGTCTGAGCTTGAAGATCAAAACGGTTAGACACTGTATATGTCATTATATGTGTTGTTTTATTTTACGATGCCCAAATGACAAAGAATTATATCATAGAAATATAAATCATTATGATTAAAACCTCATTGAAGCAAGGTAAATCTGAACGAAGTATAATTATAAAGCCTCCTACGTTGTAAACTGTAGTCTGATATTAATGTATTTTACACGGTTATTTCCCTTAGATCGAATTTGTCTGGTCAGATTATACCTCCGTTAAAGAGTTAGAATACAACACCTCCTCAAGATCTCTTGGAGGAAATACACAAGGCCTAAATCGAATTCTATGTTTTTGTTGAATTTTTGGAGAAGCCTTGGGTGAATTTAAATGATGGAATTTCATGAAAGTCGTCGAATTGAACCATGACCATTAATTGATTACATCCATTTCGAGTTTGAAATCAGAAAGTAAAGTAAACGGGGGACTTCTATAGATTGTGACCTTAGAAATTGAAAACGTGACTTCGCCGATGAAATTATTGGATTACGCGTTGGGATATTTCGATTTCAACTGTGTGATTTATATCTAATATAGTATAATGGAATGATAAGATAAGAAAATAATATTTTGAACAATGATTACTAACTTTCACGTAAAAACTACTTCATCAAAATGTCAAGATTGAAATTCAAGTAATTGCTGAAACATTATGATTAAAGACGATAAATGACGTTAAATGACTAAATATTATTAATATGTATGATTCCATGTAGGTATATGACAATAAGCTTATCAATTGTTATTGTTATACTTCTATAGAATATACGAAAGTCCATTTATTATTACTACAAACTCACATGACTTTAAACCTTCCCATAATCTCAACTTTCCTTAACATAAACCACCCTGGAACGTCATGCAGTGAAAAATCATTTAATTTTCTTACCTGGATGATCAAAGTCAACTGTGTCTAGATCAACATGACCTTGTGTTTCAGATCGAGTTTCTGACACATTAAACGTTTTTGTTTGAAGGATATTTTCTGTCATCCTAAATCCGCGTTTAATCCGCTTATAGCATAAGGATATCTGGGGCTACAAATATGACCCTTTCCCAGTTTATCATCTTTTACGTACTATATCTACTGTTAAAAATATTACATACAATCATATTGACAGTGTGAAATTATAAAACATATATTTATGTATACACTATCAGCTAAGATGAAATTCTATTCTTGGCGATAATCTAGTTCATGTTGGTAAATATTGTATCTTTTTAGATAAATATATCTCTTACCACCTTGTAGCTTATACACAATAAAGATATCAAAACTCACGGACACTCTGAAGTGGTTTGCAATATGTTAAAAATTGTCCTTGTTAAAATTTCTTTGCAATTTCTTTTGTATAAAATGTGATAAGTAATATCATTAGTCTTATTAAAGGGACATGTGTGCCATTTTGAGGGTTGATAGTCTTCAGAAGTACCGTACTAGAAATTTACGAAAATTGCGTAATTGCTTTAAAAATACTTCAAACTTTGAATTTACTCACTATTTCTATATATGTCTTTTCTATATATCACAGAGTATCTTAAAATGACGAGTCGTCATTTAAACATTGAAACACGGATAATTGTGGACTCATGTGGATTTGAAGGCTCAAGTTTCAACGGTGAGCTGTGAACACTATTACTGACTGGCTTAGCTGAAAAATTCGGAGACTAAGGTACGATTGGTAAAAAAAAATGGGGAACTTGTCCCTTTAAACGTCGACCAATTTTATGTGTATGCTTTGATGGAACCATCTAGACTCTTCTTAGCGGCTTATTTCATGCAAATGGGGTTCAATTCTCCTATATCTGTTGAAGATCGTGTAAATAGATGACTATCTCAATATTTCCATTTCCCTAAAATACGTATCCGGAGAATGTACTTCAACAAGTTGAGTAACTAAACCAGGTCTCATTAGACATAAGCAATCTGTGAAATATATGTATCTGAAACGCCTCTAGAATTTTTCATTTTCCATTGTCACTATCATGTCATTGAGAAACAATCGAGCCCATTGATCAAGGAATATATCCATTTCTAACTAAATACTTTCTTCTGGTTTATAAAACTCATTAAGCGCCATAAAATAAGATATGTTTTCGACATGGTTTCAAGCGTATTAAGCCTATATGCAGGTGAAGCTATAAATTTATCGTTTTTCTCCTCACTGGCTGTCGATCTAATGTATTTTTCCACTAAATTAGATAACTAAAACGTATTAACTGAAATTGATGCCCGTGTCTTTAATACCTCTTCCGCTTTTCTACAACTACAGAAACAATAAATAGCACATAAAAGAAATAATTGTGGAATCCCCTTATATTTTTCGACGGACAGAGAGTATTGGAAAAAGTACAATAAAACAATAAAAAGTGATAATCATTATGTAAATATATGTAGATGTCTATATCATTTGTCCACTTCGGCAATAAATCATATTAATATCAGAGAGAAGACAAATTTCTTGTTCCTTTCTGAAATGACTGACAAATTCAGTTCATCTAGCGTTTGAAATCATATTTTGAAATAAATATAATCCTTTTGAACAATTGGTTGGACCTAATGATTGATTTTCAGCCAAATTGTCCTTCGTGGTGCATTTTGCCAATGTTCAATTGAATCAAATCTGGGCACCCTTGGGTGTAAATTTAAACAGATAGTATACTTTCTCAAACACACAAATATTTAACCTCAGCATTGAGCATAATGTCGTCATTCTCATGTATTCTAACGTATTCTAGGTTATAATGCAAATAGTTTACTGAAATAAGCCTTGAGGTGAACTGTATATGGCAAAAACCGAAATTTCTAAAAGTGCTCGTAGGCAACGGTTCTTTA